GTCAATAATAATTTGATCAGATCAGTAGTATGCTCGATAATTTCGTCGAGAAAAGTAGTGCAACTCGATCATTTTACAACTGACGATAAATTTCTTTTTTTTTTTCTTCATCACCTTTTTCCATTATAATTTCAATCATAACGTGCATAAAGGGCAACCCAACGAATCTCCATCGTGGAAACTGTTCGGTTATCAGAAACCCATCAATGTTCAAAACACCAATGTTCCAACTTCCACCGCACGCAATTTTCCCAAATTTCCCAAAACACCTCGAATCGTTGCCTAAGGCCAAGGACGAAACTTCCACCAACTCCAATTACGATTTAAAGCCTTTCACTGTCCGTACCGAATAATCCAACGGGGAGATCAATTTTCCAAAATATCTCTGGTAGGAAGATCCCCCATCTTCAAAAACATTGGCTCCTTTATGAGCTGAGAAATTGTTTCGTTCTCTCTCTCTCTCTCTCTCTTCTTTCTCTTTCTCGCAAGAAGGGGAGAAGAAAACTCCGGTTAATCAAGGAGCGGAATGACGGATCTTCCTGTTCCGGAAGTATGTGAAATTGGACGTTATATTGGATTTATATTACATGGATTTATATATTGTTTATTCCACAATTTTTTGCATGGAATACTATACTCGTGGAATTTTCGAAAGAGTTTCGTGAATTATATTGGGTATTGTAACGAATTCGAGATATTTGTGAAGAATGGATTTTGAATTTAAATTTCAGAAGGCGAAAATGTAGATAAAATGAAATATCGATGTAAATATTCATGCGCAGCTAGATTAATATCTCAAAGACAAATCGATTTTAAATGAAAATAAAAAAAAAAAAATTGAGATTTATTATTCCATAAACGATAAAAAATAAGGATTAATTTTTAAGATAAATTAAAAAATTAAAAAATTCTTTAATCTTCTTATCTGATACGTATGTAAGAAGTATTGCAATATTTGTCGCGGGGATAATAAGAACGAAGGATCTGTCAGTTTTGTAATCGTAAAAATCGCTGCTTCATCCACGGCTATTAATTCTAAACGCGTGATTGATGTTAGAAGATAAGGATGGCTGACGTATTCGAGGGAAAGATCGCCACCTCATTGTCAACCTCGTCGATCCAACCCCCGACGCTCGATGATTGATGAAAGCTCGAGGGCAAAGCTCGAAAAAAAAAAATGTCGCTTAATCCTCTCCCTTGCCTAAAATCTGCAATGCGAAAACGCATTTCGGATGAAATATCGCGAAATTATTCCATTTCACTGGGACGATGATATATGAAAAGTTTAAAATGATAATTCTTGCTCGTGGATCGATTTCCTGAATATTTTTTTCACTAATCGTAATTTTTATTTCTAATAATCGTTTAACGTTTTATTATTGTTAATCATAATGGTAAAGAAGGAAATCGACTTTATCGACAACGTATTGAAAATGAACATCAAATATATTTGCTTTATCATATTTGAGAAAAATTATATATATTTATCTCAAAAACTGTGTTTCTTTATTTTTGATGATGTATTTTATAATATCATAGTAGCAGTGTATAAAATTTTCATTGCTTGGTTAGAAAAAGAATTAAAAGTTTCCTAAAAATGTATCTTTGCCCCTTAAATTTGCTCGCCTCTCTGCATAAATGATACACGCATGACTTCCAGCCATCTCAGGTGCATCATTTTTCTAACTCTTGTCATTCTGGTTCACTTAGAAACATTTCTTTCATCCACGTGTACATTTCAGATAACTGAACACAATTTTTCTCAACGATTGCTGTATCAATTAAAACATTGTTCTATATGCATTATAATATATATATAATTTTAATTATTTGAATTAAACGATGCTTTTATTTATAGAAAAGCATTATTTTAACATTCCATATTTATCGAAATATAATTTAAACGATCAGACAATAATAAATCAATCATTCTCGACTAAGTAATACAGATCGATCATATGCCAGGCAAATGGACAGTGGCTGTTGTTACAAATGGGATAAGCCCGTCACGATCAGAAAAATGAAACAATCGATAATTCAAACCTAACCGGACAAGTAAAATAAATCAATTATATAGTTGGAACAAGTAGTACAGATCGATCACTCAATCGCAAATCACTTGTCCGATACATAACACATCCCTTTCCTCAAATTATCCAAACCAAACGCTTTTAAAAAAAATCAAAATTTCTCCCACTAGAATAACAATTGAAAGCTATAACTATTTGTCCAATATAAGTCGCATGCTCGTAAAACAATCTCCTCATTAGATTCACTATCCATAAAGCTAAATCTTGCATCACTCCTACGAGTGTACAATATCCGTTTCTTTTACGACGTCTTTTAGAGTGTCGAAAGGGGGAGGGGGTGAGAAACACTGGCGATTACAAAGCAAAGCTGGTCACTAACTAATCCCCTGGCACGATTACAAGGGAATGGAAGGAAGCTGGGGGAATTCCAGGTGTCCAGGAAGTCCACTTCCATCCCCTTCAGGTTAGCCAGGGATCAGGGGCGAAACGTTGAATAAATGATGGCTCGCTTTCGGATACGCCTCACCCCCTCACACCCCTGTGATTTATATTCGACCGGATTTCGATACGTTTAGACGAGATTGCACAGGCTAGATTAAACTTGGTGCCTTTCTGTCCCTGGGAGCTGCTCGAATCGCTTGTAGTATCGGTTGTGGTGCACCGGCCCGTTTCGTACGAATGTTGTTATCCATTTGTTGGAGAATAAGATGCAGAGTGGATCTCCTTCTAAATATATATATTTTTCTTTTTTCTTATAGAATCGAGCACTTGTTTTCTTCTCAGATGTTGTTAATTGTTCAATGTTCAATAATGTTTTGATTATTTTAATCGGATTCTAATATTAATTATTGAAGTTAATAATACTTTTCTCTTCCATATAGAAAATGGAGAATGATATTGATACATCTTATCAATCTTTTATAGTTCACTTCATCCACTGTTTGATTTCTTTTTGTTTATATATTAAAATTTAGATTGTAAAAAATTGTATTATTATTATTACAGTCAAAACAATCAGAATTGTTTTACTTGTATCTTTATTGAAATTATTTCTTTCATTGGAATACGCTTAATCAAAACAGTTTCTACTACCAGTCTTTCCAAGTTTAAATTTATATTCCATGAACATTCCTATGAAAAAAAAAAAATACAAATAAATTAAAGGAAATAAATTTGATTGAAATATATTTAAGAAATAAGAATAAACTATGTTATATAAATATGGGTATACCTTTGTTCCATTATATTGAGCTCGCTATGTCGTTTGTTCAAAAACAGGAAAAGGCAACATCCGAGTCACGTACAAATATACAAGATACGAGTCATCTTTGCACATCATATTTTTATATACACATATATAAATTCAACACAAAAGATATTACGTTATAAGAATATCCTCGAAAAAAAAAAAGAAGAAAGAAAGAAAATTCGAAACAATGACAGTTTGCTTAATAGACCATGTGAAACGGATAGATCGACATAAAGATAGACATCGCTAGACAAGTTGGAAAGAATCTATATGCTCGACGAGGCACGTACGATTCTTCCCTTTGTGCGACGTGGAAAAAAAAAAAAGAAAAAGAAAAAGAGACGAGTCGAGGATGCGCAAGAGGATCCCTTCTCTTCCTCGTCTCGAATAAAAGAGAAACGATGGAGAGAAGATGCAACCCCTTTGACAGATCGAATGCGACACAATGGCGGGGAATCGGGGAATAACGACTTTTCCAGATGCTCTGAGAATTTTCGCCCGAGTTATTGTCACGTGTCTGCGCTGCTACGATTGTTGTTGAGGAATGAGGACGTTTTTCTTTTTTTTTTTTTTTTTTTTTTTTTTTGTGAAATCGAAGAACTTCTTTCCACGAACACGATATATGGAGAAATCAATCGAAGGAGTATCGATTGGAGGATTATGAAAACAATTTTTCATTGAAAATATATACGAATATACAGAGAAAAAGGAGATGTAATAATCTCAAAAATGGGGAAAAAAAGAAGATATTGATAAGTGTTTTGCCACCAAAAAATAGGTAAACAAGTAAACAATTATCTCTCAAATCTTGGAAAAGTACATTTCATTTACTGACATAATAATCATGACATGTTTTTAATTTTTTGTCAGATGGATAGACTGAATTATGAATCATATTAAGAATAAGCCAGTTGTAATGCTGGCAGACAAATGAAAAAAGGTAATCACAGTTAGAGAATTTTTCAGTAGTATGATCAATAGTGTAGATAACAATTTGTTGAAGCAAGTAGTAAATATCAATAATTTTGTCAGATATTTACATGGCACGAATACTTTGACTAAGAATAATTAATATTGCTCGATAACTTTATTTTATTATTTTATATTATCATTTAATTATTGCCAAAAGCAATGATTAACAAATTTAATTATCAATCAGAGAAAAAAATTAAACATAGATTTTGTAAGTTTCAACCACAACCTCAAACCATCTATCCACAGTTTGAAATCGAGCGAACAAAATTCAAAGCGACGACCACACTGCTTTATTTTCACTGAAAAGGAAGTCTTTTGCGCAGTGGAGAAAGATCAAACGAAGAAGATACTGCGACAACGTTTACCCTTCACTGTTCCTATCTTTTCGCGAGGAAAAGGGAAACGGAACCCGGTGGGAGTCTTTGAATATATCAATTCACTCAGAAAATCAAGCCCAAGATTGAGAGCGAACAATTGTTAATAAAACATTTCACGGTTAGAGAACGAAAGTTTAATTATTTGTTGTGCTCTTAATTAATTTAAAAGTGGTCGAGTGAGTTTTTGCATATTCGAGGATAAGATTTTCTTTGACTTTGATACACTTTGCGAATTTTTGCACGAATGTTTCGTGAATTTGTGAGAAAGAATATATGGATATAAAATATGGATATAAAATATTTTTGACGATGAGTTTTAAAGTTAATTATATCTATAAATATAAATTTAAAAAACCATTTAGCTTTTTATATGAATACTATTTAGATTTATAATCTGTTAAATAGAAATCTTGTCTTAAAACTTTTCAGTCATCTGTGTTAAAATATCTTATGGGTCACATGGGACAAAGGAAAGTATCATCCAGTGGCCCATTGATAAATTATTCTATACTCAATTGGTCAAAGAAGTGTATACAAAAAAAAAAAAAAAAAAAAAAAAAAATTATAAAAAATTAAAATTTATTTTCACTCTCTTCAAAAATCCAATATATTCTTCATTAAAACACGATACATTCGACATTCATAACATTTCAATCGATGCATATATATTTTTATTAATTTATTAATTCTATTTTTCTAATTTTCATTAATTTTTTAATCTGTTATTCGTGTAGTTGAGCATGCAAGGTCACAATGTTTGGATTTTGCGACCCTTCTCTAGTAAGGGACCAAGACCTTTGTTACTCTTGTTGGATATTATCTTTAAAACAGAGAGATGCTCTGTGCGTCGTAAACTTAAAACCAACTCGCCACCCTCCGCCATATTTCATCAACATTATACCAACTTTTCTTGCAATTTATCGGGATTCTCCTTCGTACCCTTGTTATATACACATGGTTATTTGGTTCACAAAAATAGTTTATATCAGACAAAGGATAAATTTCATATCGTAAGAAGAAGCAAACAGTGAAAGTGAAAAATGTATTTACTTATTTTGTACTGTATTGTACCATTGTATTTGTTCCATCAAATTTATCAAATGATTAACTTCTGGAAGAAAAATCATACAATTCTTTTATAATTTGAGTTAATTTAAAAAAGAATAATTAATTTGAGATAGTAAAAAAAAAAACTTTATCAATATTCAATACCTCAATAATCAAAGCATTGTTCAAAAGAATATTTTCCATCATCTNAAAAAAAAAAAAGAAAAATTAATAAATCTATTAATTATATTATATATTTTTGCAATAATATAATTAATTACTTACTTATATTTACAAGTGATATTATCGATTCTATACACGTAGTTCGTAGAGAAGCAATTTCAATCCTTGTGGAAGCGTGTGCGTTTTCTCAGTCACCCGTCAGAGAACGATTGAGCGAGTTTCTAATTCAAGACACGGATTATTTTTTAAAGGAGAAGAGAGCTCTCTCGCATCAACGTGCGTCACTTGGCTTCGATATTAAAGTTGGTCGTGTTTGCTTTTTCTTTTTTTTTTCCTTTCTCCGTTCGACGCCGTCAAGACACCCGATGTGTTTAATCAAAGAAGAATGTTTTGTGTCGATAAAAAAAATATTAGCTCGATTTTTGCGACGAAGAAACTTTCACGTCAATAAGAATTATCTTGGTAATTATTATTATTATTTTCTCGATTAATTGTAATCAAATTTATTTTATTTTGCAAAGATTTGAGTGAAAATTTCTTCGATCGAAAGCGAAAAGAAAAATATTTAATAACAAACTCCATTCTCTTTACTTTTACGCTATATAAATAAATTTTTGAATATTCTAATTTTCATAATTCGAATTTGAATAAATACTCACACAATCTTATTTATTACAATATGTAAAATTCTTTCTTGATCTTCCAATTGTATAATAACAACTAAAAAACAAACAAATATAATATTTATCCATCTTCTTTATCATTCCACATCTTCTTCACTACATCCACTTAAATATAAATATAGAACACACAAACACAGAAATCTTCAATTATGAAATCGCAGTTTCTCGCTTGCCGCCATGTTTAATTTTAAAACGAGCCAGCGAAAATGTTGAACAGCGGCATTAAACTGTATAATGGCCATTTATAGAGACATTCTGATAAATTTTTTCCACGGACAAAGTTTTCGTCAAAACTTTGGCCGAATGTGGTCTCCATTCAACTTCTGTTGGAAACGGATAAATCTGGAGAGAGAGAGAAAGAGAGAGAGAGAGAGAGAGAGAGAGAGAGAGAGAGAGAGAGAGAGGAGCAAAAAAAAAAAAAGTTTTGAGGAACATTGTTCGTTACTTTCAACAAAGTGAAACAAATTGCTCGAAATTCGTCGAATTAAAGAAAAACGGAAATTTCGCATTGAAATTTATATATATATATATATTTTAAGTTCAATTAGAATAATTGAGGTTAGGTTGAAGTGGTAATTAGATGTGGCTTTAATGATGTGGTCTTGAGGCGAATATTAATGAGACGTGTTTTTGCAGGATGAATTGTTCGTGAAATAACTGGTTTTTTTGCGCTATCTTTATACAGAGAAGTTTGTCTAACTTGTTGCTAATTGGTTAATTCTGTTGGTGACTCATAACCATTCCCAACTTCTGCAGATAGATCGCGTGTCCTCGATTTTAATGGCATCTAATGCTTGAATTTTCTAATTTCGAAGTATACAATCGTTTAATCAGAAAAAGTAGAATATTTTAAATATTTACATTGTCGATCCAATTTGTCGAATATAATAAAAAGAAGAACTTGATCTTGATTGAAATTACAAGGAATCATCCCTACTATTGGAAAAGAATTGCATCAAATCGATATCGATATGTTTATTTTGACTTTAAACTGTTCAGTATATTCAGTAAAATCGAGAAAGAAAAATCGAAGCTCTGATCGAGTTATATCGAAATTAAATTTCGATTCTTCTACTTAAATAGCTTGGATCCCAATTTTCCTGCGATCAAAATGATCGAACTTCCCTGTACATGTGAAAATTTTTACGTATTCCCCACCTATCACAATAGCTTTTTGTTATCGAAAATCACAGAAAGAAAAAAAAAATACGCATTAAAATAGAACAAGCAAAGTAGATTTGTAATAATATTTACTTAGAGAAATAATCATCGTTTGTATTTACGATAATATATAATTCTTCATTGTTTCATATTTTTAAACAAAAAAAAAAAAAGTTAGACAAAACATCTAATTATAGAATGATTATGTATACCTAAAATCAAGGAATGCGGCAAATTACATCACAGATAGCCTCGTTCCAAAAGCAATTCTGACTGATCCCATTTGTCAAAGTTGATCTCGACATGGATTAACGAGGAGTCAGAATGCAATTGAAGGTTCAAAGCGTAGGATTCCGAATCTTGAAATCATGGCGTGTTAAAGGAACTAATTTCTGAATCGAATTTCATTGGATAGCCAGTTTCCTATATCTACGTTTTTCACTTCACGCACAATTTTCAATCTCTCTTCCAACGTCTCTTTTTCAATATTAATACTCAAATTATATTCTCCAATTGTCCACACACACACACACACACACACACACACACACACATCCACAGATTATAAAAGAATTTGTATCGATTTTATGTTGTTGAAAATTGAATAACAATTCAATAAAGTGTTTGGTAAAACTCATGAATATGATTCTCATTCACTATGTTTTTAACTCAAGACTCTGTTTACAAACGAAGAGCACTTCTGAGTTAAAATCAAGTGAAAATAATATGGAATTTTAAAAGCGTTTATAATTTTAATTAAATGTTGTAAATTTAAATTTAATTACTATTTATGTTAAAAATAAGAAAAAAGAAATATTCCTAAGAATTTTAAAAAGTTTTCAAAACAGAACTAGAATTACACAAAAAATTTGTTTAATCTTATTCAAATTAAAGTAATTTGACTTAAATATAAATTTAATAATGATCTGAATAACGATGTATTAAACAATAATGCAAAAAAAATGCTTCATTAATAACGAATTCAAGTAAAAAAACACCTCGCATCAATTATCGAATTATCTTTGGAAAAATAAACGAGCAAAGCCACGAGCAGGTCTAACAATCTCCTTAATCTCTTTTCTTGTAAATGCACAGTAGTGAGCAGATATCATTTATCTTACAGCGCATTCTCTCAATATTCTTTTTTTCCCTCCCTTCTCATTTATTTTCTGAGCACTTTACTGATTCAGCAAAATGCACGAGTCTCCCCTCTCAATCTCAGAAATAAAATAGGTAATTATTGCCTTATGACGGTAAAATTGCCAAACTCGAGACAAAACTTACTTTTGTTTCGTTTCCTTCAATTTGCTTCCATTTCCTCTGACCATTTTCTTCCAGAAATTAGAAGTCGTCAACTTGTTCTAACTCATAGCACTCGTAATTTTCTTCGTATAACTTTTCGTGATTGTAAATGGAACGATTTATGGATAAAAGGAATTTTTCGAATTTTATTTTTCATTATATTATCATAATTATAATATAATATTGTATTTTTATACATTTAAAATAATATTCGATCAACTTCTAATAGTTCTAATATTCTTAGTTTTTAAATTATTATTTCTTAAATAAAATTTTAAAAAGTAATTCTAATAAAGATGTATAGGATCAAGTGTTTCAAGTTATAACGGTCTAAATCGCGACTTCAAGATCACATGAAAATTGAAATTATTACAAGCTATAGCCGAACATAGCCGATTGTAACCGAACATAACCGATTGTAGCCGAACATAGCTGATTATAGCCGAACATAGTCGATTGTAATCGAACATAGCCGATTGTAGCTGAATATAGCCGATTATAACCGAACATAGCCGATTGTAACCGAAACTTTCGAAACTTCGCTTGAACTTTCCCGAATTTTTCGATTTATATTTCGAATCCATAATTTCTAAATTAATTAAAAATAAAAATAAAAACTACAAAATAATTAAATATAACAATAAAAAAAAATAATATTCTTTTATATTATTTTTATATTATACATTTTACAACACATTCAAGAGAAATCATAATTCAATTCCACAATCGCTTCTAATTATTTCAAAAAAAATATCATTTGAAAACAAAGATCTAACTTGGAAATTGTTAAGAATAACAATCAATAAGTGAAGGAAGGAGTGAAATGGCGAAAATTCCAATAATCTAGAATAATTAGAGAGCCTTTGCCAATTCTAAAAAAGATATTCCTTACATTAATTTCTTAGGAACTATTTGTTTTGTCAAAAGCGACGATATTTCTTCGCTCGAAAGCAAGTTTCAAATAACGATGGCATAATACAGATCCCTTTAAAAGGTACTTAGTCTTACAAATTACGATGCTAAATTGATGGAGAAATTGTGCACTGGAAACGTATGGTTCGAAGTTTAATCTTGTTTTCAAGATAAGATATTAAAAGTATCTTAATCTCAGTTGATTGGCCTATATCATTTATCAAATAAGTAACAGACTAGTTTGACTATAATATATTTAACATCAGACAAATAATTGATCTATTTATATTACTCTTCACTTCTCTGACAAATAACTTATTTATATTTTTTTGATTGATCATTACTGTCTAATTCAAATTCTAATTATATTAGCTAAATTATATTATTTGTTTACTTAACTTTCTCATTTTTCATTATTCGTCTACCAATTAATCTATATTATTTGTCAGAATGCTTTTTTTTTTATTATTTTTTTTATAATAACTACATATGACTACCATTATTTATTCAAATGATTATTTTCATAACTATCTTAGTTTTCTGACAAATAATTGATATTATATTTATGATTTATATTATTCTGCCATACAAGTAATTAAGGAATACATTTTTAATTTTATATACATACAATATTAGAATATTTTACATTTAGAATGTTAAATTTTAGATAAATTTTAATGGACTTATATTATCTTAAAAATGAATGAATTATCTCATTTAAATAACATGATAATTTGAGTATTGATTGAAACATGGAAATCAACAGATATCGGTTCTCATTTCTCTTAGTAGATTAGAGATTTTCGACAAGAATTTCCGAGATACGTTTATGCTAAAACCTTGTTTGCACGCGATAGCTGGAAGATCAAAATTGATAGATTGAGAGGTTACATTTAACATTTGGTATTATGATAATAGAAAGATTCTTGTGTGGAGATGAAAGACAAATTCTATCGAATATCTTATAGATAATTAATGAATGAAGTGGAATAATCACAAATATACAAATATATAATATATTTAGAAGAATTATCTATTTCTAAAATACTAAAAATATAATATATTCAAACTGTATTGATTGATAAAATAAACAATTTCAAAATTCGAAAAAATATTTTGAAGTTAACATGTATATAACCTATATGATGTTTAAAAAAAAAAATCTTATCCTGAAATCGTATCAATTTTCAATGAAAAAGCATGCGAGAATCACATCAACATCCCACGAAATGCATAGTATTAAGTGAATATTCCAACATTAATAGAAACGGATTCGCCATAAAGATTTATTATTACGATGATTCACCACGATTACGCGATTTCCATATCGTTTTACTTGGCTAGATCGCGAACATTTGCGAAACAAACGACTTTAAGGGCTCACCGGCTGTCAGGGACAAGCAACGATCTTTGGAAAATAGCCAATACTCGAAAGAAAAAATGCATTTAATAGTTTTGTCCTGCAAAATCACGGATCATTAATCGCCGATTAATCATATGCTGATTGCCATTTATCAATTATCTATCATTTAACGTTTGATCAAGGACTATTTTGAGCTACTTTTGATTATAATTGTGAAAACATAAAAAAGAATTTTAATTAAAACAAGAATTTAAAATTGAATTTAAAATAGAAATAATTACTGAAGATAAAAATTTATTATTTGTAATTTAATAATACAATAACTTATGATATAACACTAAATCATGTGATTATTAACTATTAAAATCCAATTCATTTATATATTTATCTACTTATTTATGCATTTTTTAAATTATTTATTACTTCTTTTTATTTATATAATTCTATTTAAAAAAAAAACAAAATTCTTATATAATCTCTAAGCATCCTTCTATGAAAAAGATTATTATACTTACATTAAGCTTATATTAATATTAAAATTATTAAACTTTTGTGTTATGTAAATGAATTATATATATAATACTTTGTTAATTGTCTATTACAAAATCTGAAATAAAAATTATTTTAATAGAATTAAGAATTAAATAAGATTTTTATTTTTTTACTATTAGAAAGAGTAACGTTGATATAGAAATGATATTCTATCTTTTTTAATAATTATACTTATATAATAAATATAATAAATATAAATATATTATATAATATATATTATATTATATTATATAAACTATAAAAGTTAAAGATCTATTTAATTAAATCGACTCAAAATAAGAAATTTAGGGTCTATTTAAATAAAAACATCATCATATAAAGCAACTTGTCCAAAAGAAGTCCTTGTCTAAAGATTCTATTCAAATATGGATTTTCAATAGAAAATTTTACTTAAAATATCTAAAAAAGATTCAAATATGGACTATCTAAAAGAAATTCTATTCAATAGAGAATCTTATCCAAAAATGATTGAAAGAGGCAATCTAACCTAATTCCAAGAAAAGAAAGAGAATTTTATTCAAAGAAAGATCCTATCCAAAAGAAGATCTTATTCAAAAGTGATTTACTTAAAGAATTGCTAGTTGATCTACAATGAAATAATCTCTTTATTTTTTTTCTTTTTTTTTTCCTTTTTCTATCAACATAAAAGAATTAAATAATTTCAACATAAAACAATAACATTAAAAGAATTTAAAAAAATTTTTTTAGCATTCAATATATTTATAATCAGTTTATAATCTTATCCATATTCATCTCTAAATAAAATCACATCTAAAATATAAAATATTAATATAATTCTTATAAAAGAACAATTATTCTTTTTCAATATACATTTTTCTTTAATATAAATAAAAATATTATTTATAAAATTATATAAATTATATTTGTACTATTTATTTTTCAAACATTCATCCTCTAAACGTTTTATATAATTAATGATTTTTTTTCCTAGCTGCATCGACATAATTCTCTTGAATCAATTATCATTCACGAAATACAACGCAAAAAAGAGCAATATATTTTCAAATCAAAGAGATACGACAACTTGGCACTGATTTTAATTTAGTCGGTTTAGTGAAACGTTTGCAATGCAACTGTAGATATAACTATGGCCTACCTGTTGAACCGATAAAATGGAAAATGTTTGAAGAACGATTGAACGTGTCGGATATTTCACGCCGCGGCATATAGCAATGCAAACGAAAAAAAATTTCAAAATGGCCGTATACGAGCACGTTCACGGATCAAGTGGCACATTTTTGTTAATACAATTATTTATACACTGATTTGTATTTAGTGACCCGAGATCAAAAATTAAAATTTTTTTTCATTCTCTATTCTCGTTTCTTTCATTTTAGAAAAAAATATTTAATTAAATGATTTCTTAATAATATATATTAATAAAATATAATATATATATATATATATAAACAATAAAAATTAATTACGAAATTTTAATATTAATATTTCAGTTTCTTTCGAACTATGCAGTGAGTCAAAGTTACACATTTTCTTTCCATTTGGATCTATAGTCTAAAATGTTTCACGAATCAATCGAATTTAACACTATCATCTTTCTCGCGTCTCGAGTATTCACTACTTAATTAACTGTGTCTCTGCTTCAACGATCGATACTGGGCGTTAGGTTCAACAATTACTTGAACCCCACTGAATCAAATCTCAAATACCATGTCGTCGTCCCTATAATCACTTCTACCGAAACATAACACTCGCGAAATTGATCAAATTCCTAGTTACACATCTAGCGGAATCACGTGAAATATGCATGTAACCCAATAGAACTAGATCTCGATTGATTGTTATCGAAACGTTGCATACTTCAAGACAGTTATAAAGTCGAGACAAAGCAAGGCAATCGTTAATTTCAGTTACCATACTTTAATTTCTGTTAAAGTGTCGAATAAAAGAAAGAGAACTATTAATATTGATCTGAAGGTACCTGGTTTTCATAGATTATGAGGTAAAGGAGTTTCTTTGGCGGAAATATCAAAGGATTCGACTCGTGATTTCGAAAGATAGCTATTTTTAAAGAAGGTACGTGGTTCAAACTTTACAATGCGTTTGAAATGCGTTTTCATGCACTTGCAAAGGCTTTGTATATTGTATATTGAAAGATAAAGATATATATCATGAATTGAAATCTTTTTATAGAGATATTCTTATATTATAGAGTTAGAGAGGTTAGATTATGTACATTTTTTTAAATATTTAGTTGAAATTGTTTTAATAATAATTAAAAAAGTGTTCTATTGGATATTTCTTTGAATACATTTGAATATTTGAATATGTAATGATTTCCTATGTATTACAACAATTTATTATGAATTGCAATATTTATTTTTTGTATAATATTTATTTTAAGGATGTAGTTTGTCATAGAATTGGAATAGTTTAATTATTTTTTTGATAATTAATGTTTGGTTGAAGTTGTTTTAATGATAATTGAAAAATTGCTTAGTTAAATATTTTTATGAATGCATTTAGATGCACTTGATACAAAAATTTTCTATATTGATACATGAGAAGTCTATTTATAGAATAATATCTCTTTCTCTTATATGCTGGTTATTTAGAAATATATAAGGTTTATCATAGAATAGGAGTAGTTATTTTTGGAATCTAATGTTTGTTTGAAATTATCTCTATAATAAAATGAAAAAATATTTTATTGCTTATTTTACTTTATATATATACATATTTTTATGTAGATATTTGATACAAAAATTTCCTATATTTTTTATTTTTTGAATAAGTATTTTATAATTTGATATTTTTACTTTTTATATAATTTTATTTATTGCAAAGTTAGAATAGTTAGACTATTTTCTTTTTATAATCATTATTTGCTTGGAATTATTTTGATAAATGAAAAATTATTTTTTTAAATTCTATGAATAACCTAACCTCATAAACATAATTTTTCTTGTTTGTGAGAAGAAAAATTTCATCTGATATTTAGAAATTACCAATCTTCATGAATTTAACATGAATATAATAACGAATTAGTATAAAACAAATAGTATAAAATAAATATATATAAATAAAGAGGAAAACTGAGAACATAAATATACATAATTATAATATACATTAAATATATATAAATATGCAATTATATATATCTTCCAAGTCATATGGCATCATATAATACTAATTAAACATTTCAATGCCAAACACTCAACCATTTTTTATTTTATTTTACAAATAATATTTCAAGAAACGAACCTGCAAGAGCGATAGAGCTTTCGCTCGATCACTACGAATTTCCTCCGACGACTCCGTGATTCCAGTACTTATCTATCCCAAAAACCAAGGATCATCTTCGTACATCGAACATCTTCAGATAGGAAAGCATGGATCAAGCACTATTATTATTTGCACAGAAAGGCCACTCATGGCCCATCACTGGCCAGATCGTCCTGTCCTCGCATTAATGTCAGGAGGTTGAGTCTTCGACGGGAATAATTCCTGTGGGACTCTTAGGTCGACGTTTGGTCGTCTAGTAGCGAACATTGTCGTGTCGTGAAGAGGGTACCTAATTCGAATTCATTGTGTATCGAAGACACAATGATGATTCATGCATTAATCATGTCTCCAAATTCTCAAGATTTCATCTTGGAATTTCGATTGTTTTAATTGTTTGATTACTCTTATTGTAATTGCACATTGGAATAATTTTTTTATAAGATAATTCGATCTTGTTAATTATTATTTGATATATTTCATGATTTTTAATACTTTAAAATATAAGTTTAAATTTTATTTAGATTACACAATACAAATTTTCTATTTTCCAAAGTTACTTTGAATTATATTGGTGACTTGAATTTAATTGCTTTGAATTATAATTTCAATTCATTTGATGATTTGTATTGCTTGCTTCTTTGTAGTATTTTTAACTACTTAATATCTTAAGCAGCTTACATCCTTTGAATTGTAATTCCAAAATTATTATATTTGCTTCTTTGCACATTTGTTGATCCACTTGATGATTCAAACAGTTTACTTTCACAATTGAATTGCATTGCAATTTCAAAATTCTATATTTGATGACTTGAATTGTTCTCTATCTATAGGAATAATTTCTCTAATCTCCAAGAAACAACGATTTTCTTTTAAAAAATATGAAATTGTTTATCTTGGCTTTAAAGACTGGCTTAATAATTTTCATACAAGCTCAATATTTTTCGTCTAATCTGGAGTATGTTAAGGATATTTGGGATAAGCTAGCAGAAAGGAATGGAATTAACGAATACAAAGTCCTCCTAAATCTCGACAGTGCTCGTTCAACGATGCCCCAACTCGTTCCCTCGATGTCAGAGGGAATATGCGGATGGTATCAGCAAATGGAGCACCTGTAAACGCTTGTATTAAATTTCGCTTGATGTTCCTTAGCATTCGCGACGATGCTTCGTCGATGAAAATCCGTAATCGGTTTAACGTGTTCACTTGTGATGGAACGTGTAGAATTTGAATTATCTTTCCATAGATTAGAACGTGCCAAAGATAATTATTTAGGTTTTGATAATTGAATTAACAATTTTAATTGTATGAAAAATGGTATTTTGTAATAAATTGTGAGAAATTTAGTGTTTTTTCAAAAATTAAGTATCGATTTTATCTTTTTTCAAAACAAAAATATTTGTATTTTCCTTTTTTTTTTTTTTAAATTATTCTTCTATATTCGAAAATGATGAATTAAAGAACGGTCATAAGATGAAATTAATTTTGTTTCTGATTCGAATTATCATATTTATATTTGTTTTTCCATGTTTACATTATTTTTTTTAGAAGAAAGTCAGAATTTCTTTGTATTCGTACAATTCTTTTCGAATCAATTTTTATATTTCACAATTTTCCACAAGTTTCCATATTATTGCCAAAGTTTTTCAAATTAATCCGTTCATCGACTCGTAGCAAAACATTTTCACAAACAATTCCGTCAAATTTTTCCATACTCAAAAAGAATTCTTTCGAGATTGGAGAATATTTTTGACATTCTTATTTAAAACTCGCGTAAACTTCACCGATATCGATCCACTTTTTTCATTTTTTTTTCTTTTTCTTTCACAAAGAATAATCGTCGAGATTCAACTAATTCAAATATAAATCACAGGTCGAGAAACACTTGCTTTGTAATTTTAAAAACTTAGGAGAGAACCATCGAACCACGCCACTATTCTTCGAAATTCAGTCACGTGTCTTGTCACTGGATCAACATCCCCCTCGTGCTCACAGAATTCCATTTCTCAAACGAATTTCATCTTTGCCCTCTAGAGTTCTCACGAGTGATCATCGACGTTTCTGAGACCACAACCGACGTAGTATAAACGATAAAATTGCCTTTTAGATTTTCCTTTTAAAACAATAATTGGTACGAGATGAGAGGAATGAAAAAAAATCAATTAAACGGTCAAAGGTCATCGAATTTCCTTTAAAGTTTTCGCATCGGTGAATCCTTCTCCATTTGGAAGATTTGGGAAATTTCATACATAAAATGAAGCTACGCATTAATATTTATGAAAGAGATTATTTTACGAGCTACCATATTCGTTGATACATTTGGATATTTTTGGAAGATCGATTTTTAGATTTATTCATCAAATAAATGTACAAATGTTGATACGAAAATTTGAAAAAATTTTATTTCTTTAGCTTATTAGTTCGATCAAGAGAGACCAAAGTACTTTCTAATTCAAAATTTAAAATTACCCGTTAACGTCGCTAAATATGTATCTAATTATTCTCAAGAATACCATTTTAATTAAAATTAAAATAATAAACTTCTCGACTCGATTATCCTATCAAATCTAACCTATCAAATAAATAAAATCATTGATTTTACAACACGCATCACCACCATTGAAAAAGAACAAAATCGATATTCGATATCACACTATCACGAAAGCACCGCAATGTCCAAATATTAACACGAGTCATAATGCACACACTCGTATTTCTAGGTTAAGTCACGTGGGTCGAGACGGTGGGAAACGCATCGATTGACCGATCGGAGGGAAACGGCAAGCCAAACGAAAAGAAGCTCTCCTTCTTCTCCTCGCCAATCGACGACGCCACATCACTTTTGGACCACGCAGACACGACGGCGAAGGCCAGACTGCACCACCCTTGGTACCCGCTTCCCTCACGGAATCGATACGTCAATCGTCCCTCCGAGAAAAGCACACCGAAGAGACGAAGGGAGAGGCTAGAAGAAAGAAGAAGAGAGGAGGGAGGGAAGGAGAAGAACTCGTGAACGATACGCGTTAAAGCTTCGACTACACCCGTCGTTGGACCCGTTGGGGTTTTCGACCACCTCCTGGAGGAAGTGAAGCGTGAGGACCGACCGATGCTTGGTTCCGATGGATCCGCTAACCGGAAATGGGAATTCGTTGTCTCTTTTTCTCGCTTTTAAGTTTTTGTTGTAAGATACACCTTTCTTGGAAAGGATAGGAATATGACGTTTTCTCTTTGATTTCTCTTTGATTACTTTTTACGTTTGTTTGTTGCGTGGATCTGTCATCTGGAAATAAGAACTGCGTGTTTTCCTGTTCTTTTTTAAGTTTTTGTTAGGATTAGGTTTTGATATTTTTCTTTGCGATTGCGTTTGTTGTGTGTGTTTCTTTTTGTGGATTTGTTATCCGGAAATGGGAACTCATTTTTTTTTTTCGACTTTTTTTTGGTTTTGATTTTCTTGGGATATAAGGAAGAGTGCAGAATTAGGATCCGATATTTTTCTTTGTGATTGGGTTTGCTGTGTGTTTTCCTTGGATCTCTGTATCGTCCAGGAAATAGGAATTGTGCCTTTTTCTCGTTTTGGTAGTTTTCTTGGAGATAGTACTATTGGGATTTGATATTTTTTTTTTTGATTCTTTGTTATTAATAGTTTTGTATATTTCTGTGAATTTATCATTTGAAAATTGCATTTTTTTGTCCTTACAATTATTTTTATTGATATCTTTTGAAATATAAATATGTAGAATGTGAGTCCATTATTGTAATATAGATTCGTTTATACAATATGTAATTTCAAGGATCTCTAACTACCGTAGAACCGAATAATAGTATTTTAGAAAATACATAATATTAAATTAGATTTAGGACAAGATTTAATTAGCTATTTACATCCACGATCTATAATCTAACCTAAAACACAGTATTTTGAAATATATGTATATCGCAAATAAATAGTTACACTTAAATTTATAATATAACCTATAATATAATCAAACCACGATATTTTAAAGTACACATCGAGTGTAAAAGTAACCTCAAAATGCATTAATGACTATTAAACAAATCGATAATCGTAATTATTTTCGCGGAAATTCCGCGTTATTTATTTTTTATGGAAATAAATCGCGCTTCGCTTTGTACGAAAATTAATGGTTAAACACAGACCACCGATTAATTATCATTGAAATTCGGCCGTAACTGAAATCGATATAGGAATAAAAAGACCACTGTTGAAAGAATGGAAGACTGTAAAGGATAGCGAGTCGCGCAGCGTCGTTCATTAAAACTTTAGCTCACAAGGTTTGGGACGTAACAGAAGGCAGATGAGAACAAGTTTCGACAACGATGCGCCATGTTTAATCCGCGATTGGCGGGGTAATTAAAACGGGGGAAGAAACGCGGTCGTCATTGCCCAATTCTTTATTTATTGCAAATTGATCCAATCGATCTTGTATGTTTTTTATTTCAAGTAAATGCAAATTCTAAATGATAATAAATTAAATTCTTTTCTCTTTCATTGTCTCCAATATTTTAATTTTAAAATTCACTTTCATTCATTTACTTGTCTTTAAAAAATTATTATTTAGTATTATAACTATATGAAAAAAAAGTTAAAAATTAATAATTAATTAGCTTAGAAAATTCAATAATTTAAAAAGATTATTTTTATTTTTATAAATTGTTTTCATATTTTTACTTTCTCTTTTTAAAAAAACATTTTAAACATTGTAATAAAAATCAATAAGAAAAATAAGATTTTCTTTAAACTACATCCTCTATTAAATTTGAAGATTATTTTAAACACTTTTAACAGCGTTGTAATTTAACAACGGTATTTATCCAATGAAAAAAAATTTGACATTACGGAAGAACGATTGAGGCAATTTCCAAAGAAACGGCGAAACAAAAAGGAGAGATTATTCTTTCCAAAGAAGCATCGATTCCAATCTTTCCACCTCCACTCGCGTGGAACACGTCCACGGTATTTACGATATACGAAGATAGAGCTCGAATGAAATCGCGTCGAAGACGATCCCGTATAAATATCTCATTTTTAATAGAAACAGGGTTAACAAGAGGATCGATAACGCAAGCTTTTGTGTGTGCAAGCTTTGTTCCTCGATTCACCTGCGCCCCACGAAACCAATTCTTGATAAAACAAACGGAGAAATCTTGCCCTCGATTTTTCTTCTAGAAATATTTATTCCCAATAATGATCCTCTATTTCTTCGAAAAATAGAAAAAAACGGAATATAATTCTTTCGATCTTTCGTATATAAATTATTTCAATTCTTCTTGTCTTTTGTTTAAAAAAAAAAAAAGAAATTCAAACAACGATTGTCCAATCCTCCTAAGAGCTATGACAATTATCATATCATCTATTCCTCAATATGCTTGCAATTTTCAATAAATACCAAATCACAAGAAGCTGACTATTTATCCTATAAATTTGATTTGACTGATCTACATCTCTCCCATTGTATTATCACTTTCAAATTTCGATCGATGAACAATAGAGAAGAGGAATATGGAATATTAGAAGATAAAATTATTATATTAGAAAAAAATTCATTGTCGATTCTGAGAAACTTCGATCCCAAACTTTTAGCCAATCCATACTTTTTCAAATTAACGCGCGCCACTCCATCCCGCTGTCATCGACATTCTCGATAACTGTGCGCACTCGAAAGCCACTCGACGCGCAAAGCCTTGTGCGCGCGTGGCATACGCGTATATCCTCCTTATTCAACCTTATCGCATCCGGTATCGCTCTGTCGGTACGAACGTTTCGATGCCGACAGTGGCGTCAACTCGACGAGATAATTAAGGATTATCGAAGTTTGTTTTCGAGGGAGTGACACTTTGGAGGGGAGAAAAAATGTGTTTGGAAATTTGGAAAGTTGGAAATTTAAGGAAGAAGTAAGAATAAATTTGTATTTATAATTAGAGAAGAATGGAACGTTCGCAGTAGTAGAGATCAATTATTAAAGTCGAACGAAACGAGGGAATTATAAGAATGGAATAAGAGAATAAAGTGACTTTGATAATTTATTGCTCGAATAATTGCAGGTAATTGTAGTGCATTTTCCAATGAATTAACACTTAACCCTGTCAAATAGAGTGACTCATAGGATAAGTTTATAATTAATAATTAATATATTCCTTTTTTTTTTATTTAATCATCTTTGTTAGGAATTCTTTCATACTTGTAAATTACAAATTAATTGCGATATATTTCTGATCGATTTTATGTGATTCTATGTTTTTAATTTATTTAGAAAGAATGATGAATCGTCCTATAATTTGCATCACAATTATTCTATTGTTAAAAGTGATAAAATAATCAGATAAAATAACTATTAAGAAAATGTTTAGAAAATTGAAATAGAACACGTGAAAACGCGTGTTTTTCACGGATGAGAGATAAAATGTGGAATATTTTCTATTCGCGAATCCCCTACACAGGGAAATAAGGGATACATAGAAATATGCGGAAAAATGATATTTTTAGATTTATACACAGAGAAATACGAAGCTGTGCAGAGAACATGGTTGACAATAAGAAAATACCTAAAGAAATAGTTCGAACGATTATTTACTTTATCGAGATTTCTCGAAGAGGAAAATAAAATTTTAATATTTGCAACTTGTTACGAAGATACACAGATTTGTAATTTTAAAAAGTTTACGAACCCTTCTTTAAAAACACTTCACTATTATTTATTTATTTATTTATTTACAGATCGAACACAAAAAAAGATACAAATTTTTCCCTCATATATTAACATTCGTCAATAAATAAAAGAGTTTAATATTCTAAGAATGGACGAAACTTGAAAATTTATTTGGAGGAATTTATTCAGAAAAATTCAAATTGCAGCGATACAAATTTCTCTATTTAAAATAAAACTCGAAAACTAACATTAATGTTCGAAAGTTATTCGTCGAATTACGCGACTCATTAGCCGATGGTTAACAGTTCGTTAAAATTGCAAGACCTTAACGTAACGGTTATACGATCGTGCAATGGCGGAGCAAAGCAGAACGAATTCCACTGCGGAAATTACCACGTCGTCGAAGGTGGTCCACGTCGATATTGATGATTATCAACCCTCTGGAGCCTCGGCATCGTTTATCGAGAAAGGTCGCAAGAGTACAATGTGATAAAAGATCAGACACCAAACTTAATTCGATTCGTTGGTTGATATATCGTATTGTATAAAACGTATACATGAAAAAAAGAACGAGTTGTCCAACGATAAAACGTTGAAAATAATTAAAATTATTCAAAGAAATAAATAACAATAACAATAATAATAAAAATATATTGAGCCAATCAGAAAAATTAGTATTATTGGTCAAAAAGTAGGATAAAATAGTTGTGATTAATAAATGTAACTCACAGCTGTGGTTAAACAAGTAGAATAGGCTAGTAATGAACGGACAAGTAGAATAGATCAGTCACAGTGAGAACGATATAAAACAAGACAGATGTGAATGTGACATATATATATATCAATTGTTGATTAATCAAGTAGAATAGGAGGGTAAACATAGTCAGGCAAGTAGAAGCAGCACGTTAGATAATGGATAATGCAGAGAAGTAGATCAGATCAGCCATCGGTGAAACAACAAGTGGAGCAAGACAAGATGCGATTAGACAATTCTGGAATTGGCCAGTTGTGGTCGTATACCAGTAATATAGGTCAACCTATACAGATCAATCAAAGTAGAACGTAGTAGAAATATCCATCCGTCAAACAATGTAATTAATAACTGACGAAAAAGTGGAATAAAACCGGATTAGTTGCAGTGACGACGACAAATTGAAATTGTTCGAAATTGTATAATCAATGAAATCGAGCCAAGATCGAAAACAATCGTCTCCAGGCAAGTAGAATAAGACAATTATGACGAGACAGGTAGAACAAAACAATCCCTCATGATCAGACACAGTAGAATAATCCAGTTACAGCCGACAAGTGGAGTAAACCAATTATTACCCGCCACGTTTCAGATATAACAGTCACACTGTCATCCTGCACCTAGCTAAATATCTCTAAAAAAAAGAGAAATTTTTCATTCCTCATCGCTCACAATATTTCGAAAAATATAATTCGAATTCGAATTTCACGATATCTCGCCAAATATATTTCCAAAAAAAAAAAATATTTAATTTGCTTCTTCCCTCTCCCTCCCCCCTC